GTGCCATCATGCATCCACAGGAACAAAGGCTCATGGAGCATGCTCATTTAGAATTCCGGCAGCCCTCGAAACGTTTGTATTCCGTGTCAGATGCAGCCACAACTGGTGAACAAGTCTGCAAACCTTTCTTCCAGGCTTGGCCGTTGTTGTTGCAGCCTTACACCTGTAATTGGCCTATACCTAAAACTCTTACTCTCACTTTAGCAGCCTTTCTGTGACGTCCACTGCAGTGAGCCACTATGTTCAAAGATCTTCTCGTGCGGAATCAAGATGAAACTACTGCCGCACTCAGGCCTTATATCGGGATCTCCTAAATCCTGATACCTACGACTAAACATTTTGATGTAACGAGTTGCGAAAAATAGCTGGCCGTCTTTGCTGCCGCTAGCTGCCGAAGCCACTTCCTCCGCACAAGCTTGGAAAGACTCGTGCCATCTCCGATCGCTATTCGATGTTGGGTTTTCTGAAGCCATGGAAGCTCAGGCTCGAATTCTCCGTCAGAACAGGCAATCAACAGGCTTGGGCGACGAGCGCAGCAACTAGTGTAACGAACAGGAAGGGAGTCCCACGCACAACAAACAAAGGGAAAGGTCAAGAAGCTCATGCAACAAGTAGTCTAGCAGTCTAGCACAGGTGTGTGCAGGTAGGTGCCGCCTCCTCAGTCAAGTAGCAACGGGCGAAAGTCGCCTGCGGCCAGAATCATACACCTTGAACCCTCCTGAACCGTGGGGTTTTCAGGCGGGTAGAAAACTGCAAATGTTGTGGGTCGTGCTGCTTACGTCGGCCCTATTGAGTATAACAATTCAGCGCAAATGTCTAGAGCTTAGATTTCCGGACTCGCGGTGTTATGGGTACGTACATAGAGTGTCCCTTCTCGCCATATGCAAGCAAGAAGAGCAGCAACATCTAAATGCATCTCCTGTGAAAACGCACTCATATTGCAGCTGAGAGAAAGCCTGTCGCAGCAGGGACTCTAGTTTAGCAGGGGTTGAAATTCGGATGGTTCCACGAGCATCCATGGATTTGTCAGCAGCATCTGAAAGCTGAACACACGTGGGAGAGTGACCGTGAACGCCGTGCAAGGGTAGCGCCCACGACGTTGGTACTTTATGGCGTGAAAAATGCTGCACAAATTTAGCGTCCCTGGTTGGATTGCATTGCCTGGCTTAGGAATTTCGGCTTCGGGATCCCAGCCGGAAAGAGGTTCGGGGCTTCCGGTCTCAAGCGTGTCAGGTTCGAAAGTGCAAACCTTCTTAGCTGCACTCTTGAATTCGAGGTGGTTGATTTCACGGTAGTCACTGCGCACGATGCTACCATTCAGAAGACACCTCGGAAGAGATCCAACAGTTCCGAGGCCCGACCAGGGACATGATGCCGACATTGACTTTACACATTCAGTTGAACATCCTCCCAATGTCCTCCATGTCATGCACATATGATTTCAATCCAACTTGCCAGCACCCTCAGGCCACTTGTGGCGAAGCATCAACAAAAACTGCTGCTGCTGGATGCCGATTTCCAAGTATGACATATGCACTGCTCGCATGCCGTGCATGATGAAAGGGGAGCCCGCAAGGCTGCAAGACAACTGCTGGTCCGAATTGTGACTCTGATGCATGAGAACAGTATTAGGATCGAGCCTCGCAGCAGGCTTCTCTGAGACCTCGCGCCATCTTGTGAGAATTCGGCAATATCAAGGAACAGCATGGGAGTTCTGCTTCATGACTCGAGGGTCTGTCTTATGACTGTTGTATCACTCTACCACCACGAGGAAAGCAAAAATACGCAGTGAGCAATTTTCAGAAGGAGCCTTATATGTAGTCTACACTCACAAAGAAGCAAGTTTAGCCCGTGATCCGGATTCTGCCAGAACTTCCACGATCCCCGAAAGGCAGGTAATTGATTCAGTTGGGCCTCTCAAGTACCTATATATATATATATATATATATAACATATCGTAAATCAACCAGACGTCCGGCCCAGGAGTGCAGAAACCCTAGCAAACCTTCTGGTCATCTCGGAAGCAATAGTTGCGTTTCAAACAGAGTATCATCGTCCCGCCCTCCCAGCCTTTTCTTCCTATAAAAACCGCCAGCCTGACGAGGCATATAAGCTCTCATCTGGCCAAGAGAACTGAAAGCAACAGCTGAGCGACAGCTGCGAACAAGCTGCAAACAGCAAGGCGGCGCTTGTCATCGTAGGTGTCTGTGACCGAGCGGTCCAGGAGAAGGACCTGGCGTGGATCGAAACCATGGACTTGCCAGAGCTCAGAGCTCAGTTGAGTTGAAGGATGGACTCGGGCTTTCCGCGCAAGCAGGTCAACGAAGCACATGGATAGAACATATGGTGTTGTTCAGTCTTTTGGCACTTTTCATAGATTGGGGTCGACTCCAGCCTGCAGAGTGAAATTTGTTGCTGAGTGGCAGGACACCACCGCCACCGCCAGCACCAGCACCAGCACCCACACCAGGACCACCACCACCGCAACCGCCACCAGCACCAGCACCCCACCCGCACCGGCACCGGCATTGATAGCACCACCATCATGCCAGGTCTAAACACGGGAAGCAGCAGCAGCTGTGAAAGCTGTGCCGGCACCAGCATCATTGTCATCATGCTCGTCTGAAGCACCATCCCGTCATCACCAAAATCCTCGCTGTCGTCTTGATTAATCCAAGCACTGACTCGTTTCCTTGGCAATGCAGGCAAGTCCTTATCCTCAAGGCTGACCACCCCCTCACCCAACATCTTCATCATCCCAACACCAACACCCCATCGCAATCATCCGTATCATCATGGTCTCCGTTGTCATCAAGCCCAACCGCAAAACCATCGTCATCATTGCCACCACTATTTTCGCCATCATATCATGACCATGCCCACCATCACAATACCGAGCAGCACCAGGATCAACAGCAACGTTGATATTCACACGGAGTACAATCGTCTTCTGCCGTTTACCCCTATCTGCATTGACCCTACCGTCACCGTCTTCAGTATCATCGAGTCCTCGTCATCGTTGTGGTGATCGTCATCATGGCCTTCCCAAACCGCCGATAAACATAGAATGAAGGCAGGAACAAACAGTTCCGGGACAAGAAAGGTAACAACCCAGCGGTCTCAATTCTTGTCGGTTGGGTTTCGTTTGATTTAGCATGAAGGCCCTACAGCCTTAATCTCAATCCGAGACCCGGGCCACAAACCCCAGGCACCCAAACCTATATGTACCCTGCATGTAAGAAGTCAGCCGCTGATGAGGAGTTGCAAAGCCTACGTGTTCAAGAAAGTGCATCAAGCCCGGTGTGGCCTTAGACGGGATGCTGTCCAGCTCGGGGACCGGGAAGTAGCCGTCAAAGAAGGTGAACACCTCGAAGTTCAGCGCTCGGGCTCCGAGGGGTTTCGCGCCAAAGGTCCAGGGCGGAGGATCTGGGGCTCAAGCTTTCGCTGCCTAGCGCTTTGCACTTCAGGGTTGGACACCACGGGGGAGGAGCTTGTCTCTCTTCCTCATAGGAACCGTTTCAACCAGGAGATCACGATGCCGAACCTGCAATCAAGGAAGAACATGTCCCCTTGAGATCCTTTCCATCATTCCTTTCTGAATCCACGTTCCTCAGGTGTCGGATTCCCGGGTTGAAGTAAAGTTCAAGTAAAGTTTGTGGTGGGCTTACTTACACACTCTGAAACCTTGGCTTTTGAACCTCGGAACCCGCTTCCGACACTGCTTTGCAGCCAACTTCGACATAGGCTCAGCACCTGACCGGAATCTTTGCAGGTACGCCTGACTCTGTCGCGGCAAGCTGGCAGAACCTCGAATCAGGGTTTGGGGTGCAAGTCGAAGTGTCGCTACATGCCCTACATCTCATGGTGTGGCTCAAGTTGCCGACTGTCACTGATTGACCATGTTTGGGTTTAGCACTGCAGGCTTCGGATCGCTGCGGCCTCCAATCACAGCTGTCACGGGGACCAGGCACAGCTCACACTGATGCACGTTGACACATGTACTTCCGCGTGCATGAGAGCTCTCCTCCTTGAGCTTCAAGAGTTTTTAGCTGGAGGTTGCAGTTTCGGGTTTATGACAGTTTAGGTATTAAGCTCGTGGGTTTATGATGCATGTCATGACCCTCAAATACTCCCACCCCTAGCCCCAGATGTGGCAGATCTGGAAACCTGACCGGCATGGGGTATAACTCCGAAGCGGCGCCTCGGGGCTCCAGGAGATCGCACATGGGAACTTCAGGACGCGGGGCTCGGGAGCTTCGAACTCCGGGCTTTCACCAGAAGCTTCCGAGTCCAGCTTGAACCGTTGAGCCCTTCAAAAGCCGGAGGATCCGAGTAGCCACAAAGTCCGGAAGCAAAGCACAAGGGTCGTTCTTGGAATCAAGCGGCGCTTGGTCGAAGTTGATGAGACAGCGATCCACATAGAAACGAAACGGACCGGCCTCTTTCAGAAGCCTTTTGCCTTCGGCGGGGTTCGGGTGGAATGCCGACGACTGAATCCTTTAATTTCATCGTAAGTCCCACTGTACTATCGCAGCGCCGCAGTTTCGGAGCTCGCAAAGCTCTCATCCTCACTCCGTTGCAGCGATGCCAAGGAGATCGAGTTGTCAAGATGGCGACTACAGTCTTACATTCCCGTTACATGTAGGAGTCGAAGCCCTACACTCGTATCAACATCTGTATTATGGGGTCAAGTACGCAATGTTGCGAAAACTCGAAGCCGTGCGACCTAAACAAAACACGATCCCGAAACCGTCAACTGTTCCACCATCAAGGTCTAGCTACCTCGAAGCCTCACACCTAGATACAAATTCGCGAAGGCTGAAAGGGATCTGAACAAACTTTCTAGAAACACGTACCAATTCCCAGCGAGTTTCCGACCCTTCTGGGATCTAAACCCGAGGTACGACTAGGAACGCTCAGCCGAACCCCTCAACTCCAACTGTACCTATACTACAACAAGCTATCAGCCGTACAAGCCAAGCCCTCGGCCATGTCTTGTGCCTCCCGAACCATCCTCCTGAACCCTGGCGAAAACAGCCGCAGCAACAACAACGGCGGCAGAAGCTGCGGTGAAAGCTTCCTTGGTGGTGGTTAGTAGTGATCTTCTTGCTAGTGATGTAGTTGCTCTCGCTGTTGCTGTTGAAGCTGCTGTTGTTGTGATTGTGGTAGCGTAGTAGTAGTAGTAGGAGTAGTAGTAGTAGTAGTAGTAGTAGTAGTAGTAGTAGTAGTGGTAGTAGTAGTAGTAGTAGTAGTAGTAGTAGTAGTAGCAGTACAGCCGCAGTAGCAGTAGCAGTAGCAGTAGCAGTAGCAGTAGCAGTAGCAGTAGCAGTAGCAGTAGCAGTAGTAGTAGTAGTAGTAGTAGTAGTAGTAGTAGTAGTAGCGGTAGTGGTAGTAGAAGCAGTAGTAGTAG